CATGAAAGCTTGTAACTATCTCACGGTGATTCAATAAAATTTTTAAAAAGTGTCAGACTATTTAAGAGACTTGGTAAATGTTAATGTAAAATGTTTATGAAGTTCTTCCAGAAAAATATTGACATGTAAATCATAATATCTATCTAAATAGTCATCACTATTAATTCAGGATTATTGTGGGAGAGACTAGTCTGAGCTTATGATAAATCTCAACAGTAGAATAAGTGAAAAAGAGTGCTGGATAGTTGGTGATGAATAAGAATCATGCTGGGTCTGCTTTAATGAAAGATAAGATTCATTTGCAATTGTAATCACTGCAATAATGGAATGGAATTAAAATATTTGAAAGCACAGTTTGGTCTATTAAGTAGTTTGAATATTTCTCCAGCATTTCTGTTTAGACCATTAATTTGTTCAGCAGTCTTTCTTCACAGATAATGCAAGGTCAACTTAAGCCCATCCTGTGTACAAATTATCTAAAAACTTGAATCAATGGGGTCTGCATTAATAAGAACTGACATTAATTTAAAAATTAAAAAATGAAATCATATAATGGCTATAGATTATAATGTTTTGTTTCATTTTATTGCTTTGTCTTATCCTATTATAAAATTCATCTTAGTTTCATGCTGCATGTGATGTTGAGATTAGAATATTCCCTGAAACCCACAGAACTAAATATGCATTTTAAGGACCCACTTATTAGTGGTAGATAATCTTCAATGAATGTAACATTAGTAAAGTAAGTAGATACAATTTAAAATTTTATTGCTAATACCAAATTCTGCTTTAGGGTAAAAAAAGACTTATTTATGGCCAAAGAGTCCATTTACACTAGATTAGCATTGTATATTAATAATGAAAATAGCTGAGTCTGATTACTGTCACTTAAAGTTTTGTGAATTAGAGATACTACCTTGCAGATTAGACAGTTTGTCTACTGGCTAAAGATTCTAAGGAACGTATTCTTATTAAAAAGTTAAAACCTTCTCTCCTAAAGAAAAATTTATCATTGGTATAGAATTGCATACCATTCACTCTACAATGTGAAAAATGGAACTTTGCAGACCATAAAAGTGTAATAAAGAAGACACTAAAATTGATTTTCATTTAAGTAGATTACTAGGAATTTTTTGTGTAAATGGAAGTAATATACTGTACTTCTTCAGCCTAATTTTATCCGTGGTATTCTTTCTACATGAATGATTAGATACTATATTATTTGGGGGATATTTCAATATCTGCTATTCCCATCATCAACCCTAAAACTATTCTCAGTCAAGCTAGAGAAAATGAAACACATAGAAATGAATGCACAAAAATTACCAACAAGTGTACAGATATACCAAGTTGTGATGCATTACTTCATCATTGTTCTTCTCTATGCGTGTCTCTTTTCTTTCTTTCTTTCTTTCTTTCTTTCTTTCTTTCTTTCTTTTTTCTTTTTTTTTTTTTTTTTGCTTTTTGGGTCACACCCGGCGATGCACAGGAGTTACTCCTGGTTCATGCACTCAGGAATTACTCCTGGTGGTGCTCGGGGGACCATATGGGATGCTGGGAATCAAACCTAGGTCAGCTGCATGCAAGGCAAACGCCCTACCTGCCGTGCTATTGCTCCAGCCTCTATGCGTGCCTCTTTTCAACTTGCCCAACTAGCATATGCCCATTGGTCTTCCAGAATTAGATTTCTAGTACAATGCTCCATATAAGATCTTATTGTTATGTCTTACCTCCTTTTATCCATTCCTCATTTTGACTCCACAAAGTATAGTAGATACAAATATGTTTCATCAATCACCTGCTGTTGGTTAAGAATATTATTGGCAGTAGTGATGTCAGGAGTTGGAATCAATATAAAAACAAAAATGATGACTAGTATTGAGTTAATGACTGTTGTGTCAATAACCCAAGACACAACAATGTTTGAACTCCCCTTTAAACATTTAATGTGCATTACTTTATTTAATCTTCAATTTATATGCAATAAAATTGAGTCTGGAAAGACTAATTGAATTGTCTAAATTCCCATAACAAGAGGACTCACTCCCATTTGTTTTATTCATTAGATACCATTTCTTAATTATGAGACTGTGTACTGCCTTCTTAGTTTTATGACAAGTAATGCATTAACATACCAGAAAATGTTTTTTTTTCACCATTGAGAAACAATTTATTAAAAAAAAGGGGGGGTGGAGACCTTTGGTTTTGAATAAGGACACAGTTGTGTTACAGAAAGGGGGTGAAAGGGATATTAAACCTAAAGCAGAAAAGGGAAATTAGCTCTGAAATATATAGATCATGAAAGACACAGCTAAGAGAGAATAATGTGTATCATTAATGGAAAAACTTAATAAATACTTTAGAAAAAGATCAAATAGCAAAGTTGGGTAAGACATAACCTAAAACCATTCAGTGTTACACAATGTAAAATATACCTGTGTCAAAAGATGCTCAACTTTCACAACTATCAGCAAACCACAACATCAAAAGGCTGAGTGAAGTTAACAGGAACAATTAAGGTTACGGGGAAATATATATGCACCATGAGTCTCTTTCACTGCTGCTAAATATGAAATGCAGTAGACCCGAGTAAGTGTTTGGTCTACAAATGCCTTCTCCTCCTGACAGAGTTGGCCTACAAGGCACATCCATGCCCATGTACATTTCCTCCTTCCTGGTTCCCATGCTCCTCCAGTGTCAAGTTCAATCAAACCCAAGAGTCTCTCTGCTTTCTGTGGTCCTAGCAAGAGTCGCGTGCAAAGAAATAGGGCAAGAGTTTATAAATTAACATTCACAACTAGTAATAGTGTGACTATATCATCCTCCTATGTAATCTTCATTATGACATTCATTGTGTCCCAGTTGTCAGTGCATAAATTAAAAAAAAGATTAGAATGTATAATCTGTACAAACAATGCTGTCAAATACAATTTTGGTTTTAAGCAACTACGGAAGTCTGCTAAAGGATGTAATCTACTGATACTCAATCTACAGTTACTGTTAACAAAAACTTAGAATGAAAGGTTCGTTTTGGTGGCAGGATCACAAGTATTAAAATCCATTCATGACCTGGAGTGAAAGTAAAGTAGGTTGGCCATTTGCCTTGTACACAGTCAACCCTGCTTTGATCAACAGCATCCCATATGATCCCCGAGTCTACCAGGAGTGATTCCTGAGCACCACCAGGTGTGACCCCAAAACAAAAATCCATTCATTTTTATTAGCTAGAGCAAAATCAGTTACGTCAAAAGCAGTTCTCAATCTAAAACAGCCATGTATTACTGAAGAGGCTCTAATCAATGGACAGGGTCCACCTCCACAATACTGGTCCCAGCTGGCTCTACCAGATGAGCTTTCGTGTTATTACACTCAATAACATTTGAACAATAACAAAATCAACTGTGTATTTCTCAGGTGCTGCAAGACACATGTATGTTTTCACAGTCTCAGATTATAAACTCAGAAGTATCCTGCTCTCTGGATAGGATCCCAGCATTTTTCCCACCAGGTTTTAAGAATGAGGCAAATTACAGAGTAAATGTGGGGTTCCTAAGTTTTGACTTTTCACAGAGCACATACATTTTCTGGAGCCTATTGTTTTGGGGGCCACAATCAGCAGTGCTCAGGGCTTACTGAGCACTGGCTCTAAGCTCAAAGATCACTCCTAGTGATGTGATCTAATGGGGCTTGGAGGAACCTCGGGATGGAAACCTAGTTTGCCACATGCAAAGCTTTACCCTCTGTACTATCATTCCAGGGGCTGGAGCAATAGCACAGCGGATAGGGCGCTTGCCTTGCACATTGTCAACCAGAGTTCGATTCCTCTGCCCCTCTCAGAGAGCCCGGCAAGCTACCAAGAGTATCTCGCCCACACAGCAAAGCCTGACAAGCTCCCCGTGATATATAAGATATGTCAAACACAGTAACAAGTCTCACAATGGAGATGTTACTGGCCCCGCTCAAGCAAATCGATGAACAATGGGAGGGCAGTGCTACTATCATTCCAAGACCTCTTTTTAGTTTATTTTAGTTTGGCGGTTACACTTGGCCATGCTCAGGGCTTACTCCTGGAGGGGCTCTAGTGGACCATATGTAATGTTGGGGATCGAATCCTGGTAAGCCATGTGCAAGGCAAGCATCCTACCTGCTGTACTATCTCACCAGCCCCCTTGATTGCATTTTCAAATAAACATTTTCCCCACTTTTGTCTTGACCTGTAAAATTTCTTTCAAATACAAAGTCTAATGTTTTAAGTTGTATATTTCATATAGTCTTCTACATATAATCTAACTTGCATGTTCTCTGCTTTTATGTGCAGTAATTGCAGAATGGGAATGCCTTTGCTACCATCTTCAAAGTATTATTTCTCTGTTAACACCTAGGTAATCTCCAACTTTTATGGTCTAGATCAGGGGCTGGAGCGATAGCACAATGGGTTGGGAGTTTGCCTTGCACGTGGCTGACCCGGGTTTGATTCCCAGCATCCCACACGGTTCCCTGAGCACTTCCAGGAGTGATTCCTGAGTGCAAAGCCAGGAGTAACCCTTGAGCATCGCCAGGTGTGACTCAAAAATTAAAAACAAAAATAAAATAAATAAATATGTTCTAGATCAGAGGTTCCCAAACTTATCTGGCCTACAGCCCTCTTTACAGGAAAAAAGAAAAAAATCACAACTACCCTGGAAATCTACCTTCTTTAAGCAAATGAACAGAAAAAAACTTCTCAGTTGCACCCAAAGTACTACACTCCCACAGACACACACAACCAAACCAGGGGGCGGGGATGGAGGCAGGGGGTAGGGTATTTGGGTGAAAACTGTTCTTTCCAGATGTCTACTAGTTACAGCATTTCTATAATATTACTATCCTCAAATTTTGAAGCGTTGAGCACAGGAAAAAGGAACTGCTACATTCTTCACGTATCTGAAGTTTCATTCCAATATGTACCACCTGAAAGACATTTAGAAGTTGACTTACTAACACCATTTCCATTCATCTCTCTAAGCTTTCTTCCCAGAATGAATTGCCTGATGCAGATTTAGGCCTGAGCACCGGGTGAAGGCTTTGCCACATTCTTTACGTTTGTAAGGTTTCTCTCCAGAATGAATCCGCTGATGTCGAGTAAGATCTGAGTACTGTTTGAAGGCCTTGCCACATTCCTCACACTTGTGAGGGTTCTGATCAGAATGAAACCTCTCGTGTCGGGTCAGGTATGATTTCCAGTTAAAGGCTTTGCCACATTTTTTGCATTGGTGAGGCTTCTCTCCGGAATGAATTCTCTGATGTGGAATAAGGGTTGAGTATCGGCTAAAGGCTTTTCCACATTCTTCACATTTGTAAGGTCTATCTCCAGAATGGATCATCTCATGCCGAGTAAGGTCTGTGTATCGGATAAAAGCTTTCCCACATTCTTTACATATATGAGGTTTCTCTCCAGAATGATTTTTCTGATGTATAACCAGGTTTCCCTTCTGGTTAAAAAATCTGCCACATTGTTGGCATGTATAAGGCTTCTCTCCAGTATGTGTTCTATAATGCACAGCCAGACCTGTGGAGTAACTGAAGGATTTACTGCATTCTTTACATTTGTAAGGCTTCTCACCACTGTGATTCTGCTGATGCTGTTTAAAGCTTGTAGCCCATTTAAAGGTTTTGCCACATTCTCCACACTTGTAGGGCCTTGCTCCAGAATGAATGACCTTATGTCTCCTTAGATATGACGAATCTCGGAAGACCTTCCCACAGTCTTGACATTTGGTGGATTTCTCCCCAGTGTCAATTCCCTGACCTTGAGTCAATTTTGAGAGTTGATCACAATCTTTGCCACATTTTTTACGTTTGTGAGGCCGCTCTCCAGTGTGGTTTCTCTGATGTATAGTGAGATCTGAGCAATGTCCAAAGACTTCCCCACACTTACTACATTCATAACGGTGCTGTGGGACCCGTGTTCTATGAAGTTCTATTTTATGGACAGATCTGCTGTGAAAGTCTTGCCCATGGTCTAAACTTTCTTCCCAAAATGGACTCTGTCTGCCTTTCACACAGTGATTAAGTTCCTCATCACATCCTCTCAGCCCTTCACTTGCAGGCTTATTTTCCCCGTGTGTCCTGAAGAATAAATATCCTAAGTCACAGCTTCTATATCGTTTCAGCATCACATTCTTGAATGAATCGTCTATGTACTTCTTTAGCAAAAGGCCCTCTGTGTCTTTAGATGACATTGCCAAGAAAACCAGGTTCCTGTAGTTCTCTAGCATCACATCTCTGTATAACGAGCGCTGGGTCTGGTTCAGGCAGTCCCACTCCTTCTGAGAGAATTCTATGGCCACATCTCTGAATGTCAAAAGAGCCTCGGCTGTGGCCACTGGGGGCCACCGAGGAGGCGGAGTGGCCCCCGCCGCCCTGGCGCTGACTCCGGGGCGAGAGCGGCAGGCGACTCCACGCCCACCCCGAGCGCCGGCCGGGTGCCCCGGAGCCTTCACGGGGTCACCAGGCGGCCGCCATCTTCAAAGCGCCAGCGCGACCCCCAGAAAATGTTTTTAAAAATTGCATTATTCACTGTTACCTCCAAATATTTTGTAATTCATTTTTATATATTTGCTTCATTCTATCAGTTTTAAGGAATCATAGGGAGCAAGTAATGCAAGGAAGAAAATTAGAGGGGAAGGAGTGATTAATTCTTAATCTGGAATAGACAATGAATTGACCATCCAAACTGACAACCTCTAGGCTTCTCTTTCCCCTTGGTGAGGTACAGGCCTCCCAAAGATGAGGTAATGCAATGAACATGACATAAATATTACTCATCTTCCTCCTCAATAAGTGAACAAATTTCTGATTCATTCACCTGTGACCACAGTAGCAGTCTTAACTGTATAACTCCTCACAAGTCACAGTAACTTATGTGAGAATGAATTCCCTCAGGGTAGTTTTAGATATGGCATGTCACAAGTTTACATTAGGTCTTCTAGATAGTCCCTGTCACACACAAATCTGTTTGTTTCTCTAGGGCTAAATAAAAATTTAACTAGAATACATGTTGGAGCAACCTCCCGATGACAGAAAAAGTGGCCAAGAGAATTTTTCCTACTCCAAAATAATGCTTTAAAATGGCTGCTTCACCATTATTTCATTCCTGCTTTCCAAACCATTAGTCCCTCATAAGAATCATACAGGTATCTAGTCATGCATGATTATTACTTGATTAATGTAACTTTATTTTGTATTCTCTTAATATGAACCATAAGGCCTCAGAATCCAGATGACCTTAGACAGTGGAGTTGCTTAGCTCTGTTGTCTCAATTGCCACTGCTGGTTGAAAGCTTACTGTTGCTCTCCACATGTGGTTTTGTGTTACTAAATATTTTAGCTATTTTGAAAACTGCAGAGAACCTTAACATAAAAACTTACTTTAGTAAAGGCATAACTGAAGGGGGCCAACCTCTAATCGTCCTTGCAGGTGATCCCATGGTTCAAACCATATTTGAACCCCATCAAATATGGTGCAGTAATCTTGTATTAAGTATTTTTTGATGTCTGGAAAGCATCCTGGAGTGTGGCAGTGGCTGGTAGTGGAGGTAGTGGAGGTAATGGAGGTCTGTTGGGCTGCTGGGAGTTGGCAGGGGATCTCTGTTCCTGGGTCTATTGAGCCTGGAGTCCAAGGTCAGAGAGTACTACTTCCCTGGTTCCATGGGGCTTCACTCATGCATGAGTCTCGGCCCAAGTGTCCGGAAAGCATCCTGGAGTGTAGTGGTGGCTGGGTAGTGGAGGTAGTGGAGGTCAGCAGCTACGTCACCTCTGCTTCGCTGATGACATCGTTCTAGTAACACCAAACATCAGCCAGGAGACACAAACACTAGCCGACTTCGATTGTGAGTGTGGAAAGGTCAGACTACAGCTGAATCTCACGAAGACAATGTTTATGAGAAACAGTCTTATTCCTAACATTCCATTCACTCTCAACGGGGCAAACATCTCCAAATGCAAGTTATGTGTACCTAGGTTGAGAAGCCAACATGACAAATGACCTAGGCACCTGAGTTGAGCAGGAGAAAGAGAGCAGCTTGGAACACCTTCAAGAGCGTCAAAGAAATAGCTAAGAGGACGAAGAACCTCCGGCTCCAGGCACATCTCTTCGGTTCCACTGTTCTTCCTGCATTAACATATGCCTCAGAGACCTGGGCCCTACGAAAACAGGATGAGAACACTATTCGGATCTCCCAAAGAGGAATCTAAAGAGCTATGTTTGGAGTATCACGCTTCACTCAAATGAGAGAAAGAATCTGTAATTCCTACCTCCATCGATGGTCAAAAATCAGGGACGCTGTCTCGTTTGCCAAGGTGTCAAAAATCAGATGGGCTGGTCACGTAATGAGATTTAAAGACGACAGCTGGACTAGAGCTGTTACCAACTGGATTCCACGGGAAGTCAAAAGATCATGTGGCCGCCCACCTACGAGATGGTCAGACTTCTTTGTCAAGACCCTGAATGATTGGTTTGAGGTTATTCGTGTTCCTAGAATGAGCAGATGCCATTTGGCTATACTAGCACGCGGCAGGGATGAATGGAGATGCTACTGGCACCCGCTCGAGCAAATTGATGAGTAACGGTATGTCAAGTGATCAAGTGATCCTGTGATAACTGAAGGCCACATCTTCTGGAACTAATCTGAAGTGAAGACTCTTGCATCTGTATACTGTGCACATTCCAGATTTCCTCTCCAACCAGAGCAGGCTCTCAGGAGGCACCACCTGGAGCTCATTTCAAAGATAGATTGTTCTCATAGGAGCACCTGGAAGTGATTTTCTAATGAATTATCTTTGATATTGAGAATTTATGGATTATGTAATTATTTTCTGTTCCTAATTTACTAAGCCCAGGACCCAGGGCGTATATCTCTAAGCTTGCTCGGATTGGGACTGGGGCCTCCTCCATGCAGATCCCCCATCTTTCAGTATGTAGGCGTTACATCCACCAACTGCCCCCAGCACCGTGTAATCCCATCAATGGCCAAGACCCAAAGACTATAAAACCCTGCTCCCAGAAGTGCGTGGCCACATTTGCAGCCATGTGACATCTTATTATCTAGTTCTTACTCTGGAGAACCTGGCAGGCTACCAAAAGTATCCTGCCCACATGGCAGAGTCTGGTAAACTCCCCGTGGCATATTCAATATGCCAAAAACCAGTAACAATGATGGGTCTCATTCTCCTGACCTTGAAAGAGCCTCAAATGTGACACTTTTTAAAATCTCAGGGCTAGGACGAAGGAGACGTTACTGGGGCCTGCTCGAGGCAATCGATGACCAACAGGATGACAGTGATACAGTGATACAGTGAACTTACTAGATATGACCCTGATGAATTCCACACATAAGAAGTAGGACTAGTACAAGAGTAAAGTTGTAGAGCTATCTTTTAAGGGGGAACATATGGACTGGTTTGCTCAGGAGTTATTCCAGGATTAACACTGAAAATTCTATCAAACAAACACCCCAAGAAAAAATTTCCTGAGAACATTGAGAACAATACAAGAGGGACTAGAGAAATAATACAGTGGTTATGGCACCTGCCTTGCACACAGCTCACCTGAAATCAATCCCCAACACTCCATATGGTCCTATGAACCCAGCTGGGAGTGATGTTTGAGTACAGAGCCTGAAGCAATTCCTGAGAACCAGTGGGCATGGCCCCCAACCCCCCAAATTCATGTGATTGATTTTTTTCTGCTCTCTATATATTATTACAAATTTACAGCAATAAAATTTGTGGTGATGTCATAAATGTTGACAAAACAGTAAAATTGATGCAAGAGACTCTAAAAGTCCCATACAGCTATGAATATTAACAAAGGTGCAAAAATGATTTTATGGGGGACCAGTGTTAATTTTTATAAGTAATATTAGAATGCACAGTAATTAGGCAAGAAAAGGAAATCAAAGGCATCCATTCAAGGAAATAAGAAGTTACACTATTACTATTTTGCAAACAATATGACACTATACAAAGAGAACCTTAAAGAATCCACGAAAACTTCCAGAAATAATAAACAATAACAATAAAGTAGCAGCCTATACAATCAGCACAAAAGTTCTATTGTACTGTATATACAATTAACAAGATGTAAAACTTTAAAATTCACAAATATGTTCAAAATTCTCATACAACAGAATTGAGTCAGTATTTGCATAATGGAAATGGGGTTTCCTTATTCATTCCTTATTCATTTTCATTAGTTTGGGGGACACACCCAGTAATGCTCAAGGACTTTTCCTGGATTTAAAGGATTTTTTCCATTTAGTCATGAAATTACAAAGTTGTTGGATTTAAGGCATACATTGTTTCAGCACTCATCCCTTCACCAGTGTCCACTTCCCTCTGCTGATGTCCCCCCCATAACCATCCCACCCACCAGTTTGCTTCTACAAGAAGTGTTTTGTTTTGTTTTGTTAACTGTACTTATAGTACTGTTGTTGATAGAGTTCCATATATAACAATTTACCACCTTCCAACACCACCTCTTCCTTCCAGTTGAACACTATTCCTGCCTTTGGGCTCAAGAGTAAACCTTGAAGAAGTTCAGGGAACCTGTAATTTCAGGGGCTCGAACCAGGGTCAGCAGGATGCAAGGCAAGTGTATTAACCCCTTGTACTACTCTCCAGGTCTGTGAATGACATTTATTTTGGGGATCATGAAAATGTTCTGGATTTAACTCCAGATGATTCTAACTAAAGAACCTTGTGATTAAACATAACTACTTTTAATTTAACCTATTAAAATGATGAATTTTATAGTTTGAAAACTATATAATAGTTAAAACATTTTTAATTCTATTCAAAAATATTGAAAATGTGTGTGTACTCCTTGTAGGTGGTAGGGAACAGAATATGGTTGTTTTGTCTCTTCAGTGTCAACTAAGACGAAACCTCAGTCTCAAGGCTAAGCAACATTCAATTTCAGTTAAAACTGCATATCGCTTTACCTCCATTTTGTGAAAGTTCCCACCTAAGATGATACAAAAGGCTATTTATTTAGTTGCACATACCAGCAATGTTTAAAAATTTAACATGCAAATATTGTTACTACTTTAGAAATAATGAACTATAATTGGAAAATATCCCATTTTATGGTTCTGTGAATCCTCAGTCATCTTTTCTCCTCCTTTATTTCCTCTAACTCTCACAAGATTATTGCAGCTTATTCTTTCCCCTGCACCCAAATCAGATTGCTTCGAATGAAGCATAGCAATTAATTAGTTTCCAGCACAAGTTTCTATCATAATTAAGTTTCCTACAAAATCACCTAATCTGAAATATCTTTGAGATTTATGATTTTGCCATGTGGAACAGGGCTAGGAAGTGTAGAAATTACATAGTGAGAAAGGTTTCTAGGATCAGCCTTTGTTATCTCAGTTTCTTTACAGATTCAGTGTTAAGCTCATTACAAGATCAGACAAACCCCATGCAAGCAAACTTTGAGATATGGTCAATAGAATTGGGAACTGAGAAGCCAGAGGAAGGTAGAAGAGAAGGTCATGAGGGATAATGGTGAAGAAATCTTGAAACAGTGATTAAAAGATTGGGATAGATAAATGTTATTTATGTTCTCTACAACTGTTACAGAACTAATTCAACAGCATTGTAATTTTTTATTTTTATATAATTTTAATATAAATTTCATATAATTAGATATAAAGGTTCCTTTTAAAAAAAATTTTATTAGTGAATCACCATGAGGTACAGTTACAGGCTTACAAACTTTTGTGCTTGTGTTTCAGTCATACAAAGTTCGAGTGCCCATTCCTCCACCAGTGCCCATAAGTATCACTCCATAAGGATCTCTCCACAGCTTAGAAGCCAGCCTCACATGCTGCGGGGAAAGGCAGCTCAGATAGAGAAGGTACCACTAAGTAAAGTGTGCTAGGAGAATTCCCTTGAGATGGGAGATGCGGGCTGAAAGTAGACTCTAGACCAAACATGATAGCCACTTAATACCTCTATTGCAAACCACAACTCCCCAAAAGAGAGAGAGATCAAAAGGGAATGCCCTGCCACAGAAGGCGGAGTAGGGTGGAGGGGATGGTGTGCGGTGGTAAGAGGGATGCTGGGAGTTTTATAAATTTTTAAACTTCAATTTGACATTAATTTATAAAGCCTTTTCCAGAAAAAGATATATGAAAATACTTCTAAATTGGTATGTGGTAGAACCATTTATTTACCTCTTTAGTAGGGCTTTTCTGAGAGTTGAAATGCTCTTACTTTTAAAGCTGAGTAACTCTAAATTTTAATGTTATCTTCCTTTTGATTTTAAAATGTCCCTGCTTATCTATCTCACAGAATTTTTTTGTTTTACTGGTCCTCTTAAGTGTCTTCTTCTGGTGTACTTCCCTCAGCACTTTACAGTTTCCCTGTGTCTTTTCTATCCTGATTCCTTGACAAAGCAGATCTTATAACTCTTCAATTTTTTAATTTATAGACAAGATTTACTTAACTATACATGTTTCTATATTTTTATCAGACTTCTCTTTCTGGTTTCAGCTAATCTCTCTCTAATTCTTCCCATGGTTCTTGGGTAGAGTCCACGCCACCCTATTACAATTCATAAAGTACTGGGCAAAAATCCGTAGGGGGCTTCTATTTTGAAATGTTTTCTTGTCATGTGACAAGAATCTAGCCATCTATGTCAACATTTATCAACAGTTTTTCTGATCATGGTCCACTTCTGACCTTGTGTCCTTCCTATGTATCTCTTGTCTTATTATCTTATTATTATCTCATATTGTGCCTCTCCCCACCCACATATTTGTTTTAATATT